ACCCCGCCCAGCAGTTCTTCACCAAACTCACCAGCGTGGCCAACCTGCTGGCCATGCCCGGCTCCCAGCTGGTCCAGGTGAGGGATGCCCGGCCGGGATCTCGCGGCGTCAGGATGAGCATGGGTAGGAGAGACCCTGCTTAGTGTTTGGGGGGGTCCCTGCAGAGATATGTCCTTTCTTCTGCAACCTGCCACCAGCTGCCCCTCCCCAGGGTGGTGGGTCCGTGGGTGGGCAGTACCGAGGAGGGGATGCTCAGGCTCACTCCATCTTGCCTGGCCTCTCCCTCCCATCCCCCTCACTAGCCCCTTGGAGAAAGCAGCTCCTCACCCTTGCTGTTCACCCTCTGCTCTGTCTCCTCGCTCAGATGACCTGGCCATCCCTGCGAGCTGAGTTCCCGGCGCTGAGCCCCGCGCAGCTCCACCGGGTGCTGAGCCAGTGCCAGGCGGTGATGGATTTGGGCTGCATCGCAGCGTGGCAGCCCGGTGAGGAGGAGAACCCGGCCATGTTCCAGCCTGGTGAGCCCCTGGCTTCGTACTCAGCGCTGCTCCGGTCACCCGCAGGCTCCCTCCAAGGTTTTTATGTACAAACCAGCCAGGCAATTCCCTTCCCCTGCCTGGAGCTCCTGTAGTAACTGCAGCAATCAGGAATAACCACGGCCTCGCAATCTGGATATTGCAAAGGATGCAAAGCGCACTCAGAAGGGCTTGGGGCTGTTTCTGTGTTTCCAAGTGAGGGATGCTGCTGCCTCATCGCTCACCGTGTCCCTCATCCCGGCTGGGAGACCGCGTGTGGCCGAGAGCCAGGAGGCAGGAGCGGGGTGCAGCCCAGACCGGTGCTAGCCTCCCTCCCTCCGCCTTTCAGATGAGATGTTGGAGTCTTTTGACAACCACCCGCCCATCATCCTGCCCAGTGGAGGCTTCAAAGTGGACCTGGAGGTGGAAACGTTGGACGACAACATCTACCGGCACCTCCTTTACATCCGCCATTTCCTCTGGAGCCTGCAGAGCAAGAGCCCCCACACCAGCGAGGGGCCAGGCTCAGCACCCTCAAAGGTAGCCTGTCCCCCACGGAGGGGCTGTTCCTCTCCTGGGTGGGCAGGAGGGTCTTGGGTCTCTCTGGAGACCCTTCCAAGCCCAGCGCGAAGGGCTCACTGCCCTCGCCTGTGGCCCGGAGCTGTGGCAATGATGCTGTCATGTAGGGCTGCTGGAAGGATTAGTGCTGCTAATCCCCCAGGCTGGGGGGTGCGGGAAGGTGAGCTGCAAGGACAGGCTCGTCCCAGCAATCTTGTTAGTGGGGAGGAGGGAGGAAGGGGAGATGTCTGCAGGCAGCACTCCCCTTCTCCCTGCGTGTTTCCCCATCCTCCTTGCCCTGCACCCTGCCTGTCCCCATATAACCAGGCAGGCTTGCACAGAAGCACTAATTAGCTAATGCCTATAAAGCACAGGACGTGCTGCAGGTGCTAAGCTCGACTGCCCTTCGTTTCCAGCTCCCTGGGGAGGACGTCCCTCCAGCAGGTCCCCTTCTCCTCTCCCACCCCATCCCCATCGACTGCAGCACCCACAGGCACCGCTACCTCCTCCCGTCGCCCTGGGGCCACATCACCCAGCTCTGGGGCCACAGAAGGAGCCATGCTCTCCTGGTGTTCCCTTCCAGTGAGATCCCCCAGCAGGGACATCATCAGGTGTCCCCTCCTGGCTGGCTGTGAGCATCCCCAGCATGGTCCTGGCCACAGAACTGGGGTGTGGGAGCTGTACTGGGAAGCCAGGACAAGCCCCAGCGGTGTCTGAATTGCCACGGCTTTGGCTGGAGCCAGCAGCCGTCCTGCCTGCAAAGCAGACAAGGTGGTGGGGTGCAGGTAGGGTGTGAAAAGCAAGAGGCAAAGGGTCCCAAAGAGCATTTTTTTTCTCCTTCTTAAGAAAGAGGCATGCACGACACCAGATGTCCTGGAGGTGAGTGAGAGCCCGGCTGCTGCCCTGGGGATCACCATCACCCAGGAGGACTACTGCTCCCTGGGGGGCTGCGCCG